AGATGTGAAGTAGGAAAAGATGCGTTGTATAGAATATTTGAGGCGGTGAAAGGTGATTTGAAGTCTGAAACAAGACAAATAGTCGTTCCTAGTAAATATCACAAAAGAGTTATTTCATTAACTCATGAATCTATAGTGGATGGGCATGTCTGTACGCAAGCCTTTAGACAGGATACAGTCTAGATTTCACTGGCCATGTATTTCTAGTGATATACCTAGATTTTGTCGTTCCTGTGACATTTGTCAGAAGACGGTGCCCAGGGGTAGACTTCAGAAAGCTCCTATAGGTAAAAGACCTATTATTGACACTCCGTTTCAGAGAATTGCGGTTGATTTGATAGGGCCAATAACGCTTGTATCGGAAAAGGGAAGTACAGTAAACTCTGCTTACAACGAACTCATTGGGACATTTAAAATCTGTTCCTTATATCCGGAGTTCCTTGTATCAGGACATTTTATAGCGAACAAATTCACACATAACGAACTGATTGTTTAACATCGTCCACCATTTTGAAGAGCATCTGTTTAAGATAAATTAGTCATTTATTGCTCGTACTTTTTGGAATTTAAAATCCTTTGCTATTTCACCCTTTCTCAATTTCTCATAAAATATTGTATTTTGTTCCTATCTCAGTGCTTTTCGTTTTTTTTATTGAATATATTGAATATATTCAATGTATATTTTAAGCGTGACTTTTACTTATGAAAGATATAGATTTCTTTTCATTTCAATCAAGCGTACTTTGTAGTTTTCATTGGATTAGCAAGGAATAGCATGCGTGATTATGTTGAAAACCGATTATAAATGATCATAATTATTTTACTCGAGAAAAGAAATAATAGAATAAAAGAAATAACGTTACAAGAACTCATGCTAAAAATAACCTTAATAGAAAACTATTACATACTGGTATACAAATTCATTTTCACAGATACAACAATAAACGGCAAGTTCGGCCGAGTTTTAATACGTGCCAATGAAAACGAAAGTTGAAAATGTTCGTTATTACGGTTCGTTATAAAAGTGTAATTTTCTGAACTTTTAAATAAATTGGGACTAAGAAAGGAGTTCCTTATAAGCGTTCATTCCTAATAACCGTGTTCGCTGTAACAGTATATTTTTATATGAAATAAAGAAGGGCAAAATTCGGGTCAAAAATAATTGTTCCTTATAACCGGAAGTTCACTATAACCGTGTTCGCTACAAGTGAAGTTTACTGTTCGCTTCAAGTGAAGTTAACTGTAGGTACATATTAACTGTAGTTGATTATGCTACACGTTACCCAGAAGATGTTGCTTTACCAAGAATTGAGACTGAAAATATAACCGAAGCATTGTTAGATATTTTTGCAAGAGTAGGATTCCCATCGGAAATACTTAGTGATAGGGGTAGTTAGTTCACGTCACAACTTATAAAAGAAGTTTATAGACTTGTATCCCTCAAACAGTTGTTTACTACCCCTAACAATCCAAAATTCAATGGTCTTTGTGATAGAATGAATGAATGAATGTTATTTTAAAAAGAATGTTGAAGAAAATGTGCCAAGAAAGACCTAAGGATTGGGACAGATATTTGTCTGCGGTTCTCTTTGCATACAGAGAAGTCCCTCAGTCAAGTACAGGGTTCTCACCATTTGAACTACTATATGGCAGAACTGTTAGAGATCCCATGCAAGCACTAAAAGAATTATGGACAGAGACAGAAGTACCAGAGATACGTAATACGTATAAGTACGTCTTGATTTGAGAAATAGGTTAGAACAAACATGCAAGATTGCTCGAGAGAATCTCAGCAACTCACAAGAAGAGTATAAACGTCATTATGATAAGAAAACACGACCAAGTAGGAGACAAAGTTTTATTGCTCCTGCCTTCAATGGAAAGGTCCATTTGTTGTAAGTGAAGCAGTTAAGAAGTTTGACTACAAAGTAAAAGAAGGTGATAGAATTAGGATGTACCACATAAATCTTCTGAAGAAATACGAAGAACGAGAGGATAGAATTTGTGCGAGTGTAGCTGTAAAAGAAGCCGAAAATAATGATGATAAAGGGATTGTTGATGATGAAAATCTTTTAGAAATAGTAGATACACAGGGTGAAGCGACGTACAGAGATGTAAATGTTATTGATAAATTTAAACTTGAACAAAAATCAGAAGTAAATGCGATGCTTCAAGAATTAGAGGATATTTTCACTGACGTTCCTGGAACTACAGATCTTGAATTTCACAAGATTGTGTTGACTGACAAAACGCCAATTTGTGTTAGACAATATACGATACCATATGCAAAAAGGACAGCGGTAGAGGATGAAATCAAGAAAATGCTTGAATGTGGTATCATTGAACCAGTAAATTCTGATTATAATTCTCCAATTGTTTTGGTGAAGAAAAATAATAATACAAACCGCTTTTGTATTGACTTCGGACGACTCAACTCTGTAACAATGTTTGATAGAGAACCAATGGGTAATGTTAGGGATGTGATGGCAAAGCTCAAAGATAAGTTCTTCACGAAATTGGATTTGACCAAAGGATTTCGGCAAATACCTATTGAAGCAAAGTCAAGACATCTAACAGCATTTTCTACAACACAGGACAGTTAACAATTCAGAAAGAGGCCATTTGGAATGGTCAATTCTGGTGCAACATTTAATAGAATTACGCGGAAGCTGCTTTTCGGAGTGAATGACACTGATAATTATGTAAACGATGTGCTTGGACATACAGTAACATGGGAGAGACATATGAAGATGATGAGATAGTTGTTCAAAAGAATACGAGAAGCAAAGATCACAGTTAAACCTTCTAAATGTATGATTGGATTTGAAAGTATACCATTTACTGGTCATGTTGTTGGCAAAGGTCAAATGCAAATAGAAGATGACAAATTGAGTAAAATTAGAAACACTATGCGACCAGAGTCAAAGAAGCAACTGAAATCATTTCTTAGTTTAACTGAATACTATGGAAAATTCATTGCTTCATTTGCAGAAATTACTGCACCATTGACAGATCTTACGAAGAAGGGACAGCCAAATAAAATCATATGGAAACCAGAACATGAAAAGGCCTTTACGACATTAAGGCAAGTATTGACACAATCACCAATACTACGACTTCCTGACTTTTCAAAGTCGTTTGTTTTGCAATGTGATGCTACAGACACCGGAGTTGGAGTTGCACATCTTCAACAGTTTGATGATGGTCTGCTTTCAATAGCTTACGCGAGTAAGATATTGTTAAATTGAGATTGGAACTACTCGGTTTTCGAAAGGGAATGTCTTGCAATGGTTTTCGGAATAAAGAAATTCAACAAATATTTGTATGGCAAAGAATTTGAGCTTGATAAGGATAAGCTTGATAAGCTCCTTTAACATATATTTAGAAGTGTAAAGTTGAAAGTGCCTGCATAATGAGATGGGCATTGTTTCTACAGAACTATATGTTTAGAATAGTAGCTGTGAAAGAAAAGGACAACGTGTGTGCAGTTACCTAGTAGACTTGATACCTTAAAAGGGACATTGTAGATTATTCATATTGTTTGAAAACAGTGAAGTGTTTTCTTGAGAAGGGGTTGTCAGAATAATCATACAGTTTTACTGTAAATATATATTCTTTTAAACGAGTTAATGTCTTCCCACAGCGATACACCGAAGTGTATCATATTTCAATGAACAGTGTATTTATAAACCTGTTGCTGTGGTTTAATTTTCTACATGTAAATGTCAAATAGAAATATGCGGGTTTTTGGAGAGATTTTACATAAGTTTAGGAGAGACACGCTGATAGTGTGCAGCATTTTTGTTTGTGGAGAAGAGAATTTGTTGTTTTAAAGAAAGTTTTGTTGATTTGTTGAAGTTGGTTCAATTTAATTGTGGTGATCTTAATTGATCAGGGTTTATTGGTTGTAATTAGTTGTTTTGGTCGTTGAGTTATATTTGTTTGTGAAGATATACTTGGTTGATTTTGGTTGAATGTTTGGAGTGATTTGTCTTGTCAAGGTTCTATTAGTTGATGCTTTGTTTCTGAGGATATCTGTAAATATTGGGTGCTTTAGTTTGCTTATCTAACGCCGATTAGATTTTGTAAAGTTAATATTGTTGGTTGAATGTTGGTAGTTTATATTGTATCTTACAGTTGTAAAAATATTCATATTTTGTGTTTTTCAATTTTGTGGTGATTTTATTGTTTTGTTTGATCATTAGTTGTTTAGAGCTTGGGCTCGCCATGTGTCTAGTAGCAAATTAGTCAAATCGGCCCCAAGTCAGATCGGCCCCAAGTCAAATCGGCCCCAAAATTAGTCAAATCGGCCTCAAATTAGTCAAATCGGCCACACAACAATTTTAAAAAGTCAAATCGGCCCCAAAACTTGTCAAATCGGCCCTGAAACTAGTCAAATGGGCCTCAAAACTTATTTGTTGGTTATTGAAAATGACTTATAATTGTATAGACTGTGGAAGTGTTAAGTGTTCGTATAAGTGGCTGATAATTGATGTGTATTTGTTTTGGGTGTAAGTAATGATCAGAGTTCTTTGTTTTGGATGTAAACAATAATCAGAGTTTGTTGTTTAAAGGTATATATGGATTTGAGATAAAAAAGATAAAAATACCTAAAAAGATAGTGTTAACTAAACAATTACATGCTAGTTTTCCAACTGAGAATATTTCAATTTTATGTCAGGCGGTGCTGCCGGGCCCACATATCTTGGAAATTGGTTCTAGTATTTATTACAAAATCTTTCTTTAGATTAAATAACATCAAGACAGTCACCACTCTCTTTATAATTTGAATGTAACAGTTAAATTTCGATGGATATGTTTATACCCTTGGATGGACATAATGTCACTTTAATATACGGAATGTTTAATAGGTACTTAAAAGTCTTAAAATAATATTGTATCTTAAATACTTATATGTAGAAAAGTATAAAATATTTAATATTACCTCCTCAGTCATTTCATAGCCTTATATTCACATACTGTCTTAACTTATTTTTCAGATTATGCAAGGACACTTTCTACATACCAGCATTTATCCAAAATAATACTTACCAAGTAGCGTCTAGACAAATTCAAACAAAACTCGAGGAAATAGCCAAGACCCTTGCTAAACAAGCTGATCGATTTAAAAAGGATAAACAAAGGCTGCTAAAGAGGAAAGCAGAAATACTGGCTGATATTAGAAAATTCCGACAAGAAATCAATGACCATCTTGACAAGCTGGAGAAAAGTTCTATTGATGAGATAGAATATAAAGTCAAAAGTCTTGAAGACAAGGTAGAAGATGGTCTCAAACAGCTTCAAACCAACAAGTCCAGGATTACATCAGCTAATGATAAATTAGCATCTTCAAACACAAATAAAGCTGAAGTGTTTGTACATGTTAAGATGGCAGAGGATGCTGCAAATGTTGCCAACAAATATTTAGAAGATGCAAAATTTAAAAGTAATGTGGAACACATAGATTTTCAACCTGATAGAACAATTCTTACACAACTTAAGCAAAAGAAGACCCTAGGCATACTATCAGAAAAACCTACAAAGACTTCTGTTAATTTATTTCAGATTAAAGGAAATCAATTATATAACGTAAAAGTTAAGTCTGATAAAACAAATTGTCATATTACCAGTGCCTGCTGTATGGAAGATGGTACAATAATTCTAGCTGATTACAACAACAAGAAACTGAAACGGTTACACAGTCATAACTATACTGTCACAGACTATTGTGATCTACATGGAGGACCATTGCAAGTGTGTATGATCAATAACACACAAGTAGCAGTAACTGTAAAATCACAAAAATCGGTTCATTTCATTTCTTTTAGTGGAAAAATGAAAACAACAGACAAGATTAAAACTGATTTTGAATGTCATGGTCTTGCATATGCAAACAATAATTTATATATTTCAGACGATAAGACATCAGTATATATGTATACATTGTCTGGTAGGAAGCTTAAACAGTTCAGTAAGGATCAATCAGGACATACCCTGTTCTCTGACATACGCAGACTAGCTGTTAGTAAAGATGCTACTAGGATTTATGTTGCTGACTATGATAATGGACTGATAGTACTTGACAACAATGGTCAGGTTATTACATCATTTAATGATATACAATTAGAGGGGGCTAACTGTTGCTATCTCAGTGAAGCAGGCACTGTGCTGGTATCTGGAAAAGTCTCCAATAACGTTTTACAGTTTACATCTGATGGTGAGCTGATAGGAGAGATTATAAAAGCTGATAGTCGAAAAAGGCAAATAAGATCAGTCTGTAGTAATCAACAAATGACTAAGATGTATATAAGCAGATATGGATCTGACAACATTGAAGTGTATGATATCTGATCTTTTAAGTAAATAAATGAAGCACTATCAATAAAAATAATATTTAAAGAATATCCTGATTTATATGTAAAATTCAATATTTAAACATAAAATGTAAGAAGAAAAACATAGTAACTTAAATAATTTGATTGTGACAAGTTTATACATGTTCAATATGTTATGATACTACTTAAGTTTAATTCATTGTAAATAGTCATGAATTATTTTGTAGAAATTTATTTGATTTATCATATACATTCTATTCTTGCATTATGATTTATATCAAGATTTATAATTTTTTTTAAATTGTATGTTGTGTAAATGAGACTGTCTTTATGAGTGAAATAAATGTAGAATTTAAACGCATCTTTCTTTATTTGGATTTCATTTCTATGACTTAGGTGCTTTCCTCCTTTTAAATTACACGCAAAGTGTACTGTAATTATCACAATTGTCTAAATACACCATGTCTGTTAGAAAATTTTCACAAGTGTGGACAGTCAATGAGTTGATCAGAATTAGTCTGGCTTCGAATAATAGTTGTGAAATACTTTCATAAATGTATAATCTGGACAAAATTTTACTTCGAAAAATAGGAGGTATTCGGGTAATGCATTTTGAATAATATGTTCGAATTTACATTAATTTATATAGAGTAATAATTCGGACCGCATAACTACTATGAATAATATCGAGTATTCGAATAAAGGATTGTTGAATATAACCGGGGTCAGACTGTAAATAAAACTCAAAGGCCCATTACGCCTAAAAGCGGATGTTATTTTTCAAAAGAGGTTTACCGATTCACTCAGTTATGAAAATAAAAATAAAATAATGTTAACAGTTTTATGACACTTCACAGAGTCATGGTGTTTTGATTTTGGAAAAATATAATTTAGCAAGTGATTCCAATGAATTGTGATGAAGTTGAACAATATTCAACTTACCAATACTTGATCAAATATATAAACATGTAAATGCAAGAACTTGACCTTGAATACAGTGACCCCCAAACTCCATCAAAACTTAAAGGACCACCTTAGGTATGTTCCTTGTAAACTTATGACATTGGTAAATAATACAAAGGCTGTATAAAAACGTGTAAACAAGAGGGCCAAGATGACCCTAGATTGCTCACCTCACCCATCATTTCATTGTAGGTCAAGCGATATCAAAAATATTAGAAGTAGGCCATCTTATATCAAAATACAAATTATCATTAAAGAACTACACCCTTGACTCAAATTTTAAATTTATATGTCAAAAAATATGAAAGTATGTCAAATTATATCAAAAATATCAAAAGTAGGTTAGATAATATCAATTTCAACTCGGCATCAGAAATTACACCCTTTGTCCCAATTTCATGTCTGTATGTCAAAAAGCAAGAAAGTAGATCAAATGATATCAATAATATCAAAAGTGTGTCAGCTGATATCAAAATTCTGTAGGCATCAGAAATTACACCCATGGTCCAAATTTCAAGTCTGTACATCAAAAAAAAACAAAAAAAGTACGTCAAGTGATATCAAAAATGTCAAAAGCAGGTCAGCCAATATCAAAATTCGATTTTACATCAGAAATTACACCCCTGGTCCAAATTTTAAAACTATACTTAAAAAAGAGAAACTAAGTCAAACGATATAATTAATATCCAAAGTAGGTCAGTTGTTATCAAAATTCAATTCTGTATTAGAAATTAGAAGTCAGTTTGATGGTAATTGAGTCAAAAATGTGATCCCTTGAGAGTTAACAGCTTTTTCAATAGTTGGGTGGTGTGACCTAGTTTTTGACACTTGGTGACTCACATTCGAACTTGTCCCGGAAATCATCAAAATAAACTTTCAGATTGATTTCAAAACAACACAGGATAAGTTTTAAGCTGTATATAATGATGACCAACCTTTCAACTGTCACAAGTCATCATCAGGGTTATAAAATATCCCACCATTCTGTATGATCTACTGTAAATCCGGTATTATTCGCAATGTTCTAATTTTCCCTATTATTCGCGAATCGGTTGCTTTGCGAATTAATGATTCTGTGTAAATTTCATAGCATAACATACATTATTCAAAAATACATCCGATAACAAAGTAATGTCTGAATTGTAATCAAGTTTGATAATAAATACTATAACTTATTTCAAAGTAATTAATGCGTGCAATGTTTTATTTACATAATAATAAAGGACTGGTATTAAATATATGAAGGTTTACTATCAGATTTTTCCTTTTTTCCCCTCATGAATTATTATTATTATGACCCAACACAAAAAATAACATTTTTTCGACAATTCGACAATATCAATAAATTATGCACTTTACAGATAAATGTGAACATATATTGTTAAGATAACAATAAATTAACTGTAAAATAGATAATAGTCTATTTTGGCACAGTATTTCAAGTACTATAAACAAGTATATATTACATCTTTTTTTAAAAACATCTGTTTTTTTCCTCAAAATTTTAATACTCTATTAACAAAAAATAACCAAATATGTTAAAGGATTCAAAAAAAATATTATTAATCAATTATGAAGGTATATGAAATCAAAAACTGCCACCGAATGTGACAGCATTAAAACTGTAAAATACTCAACATGTCACTAAGTCAAAGGTAGATAGTTCATGGGTATTAAGTCTTTTCACTTCTTTGAAGAAGAGTCATGTTGAAAAGATACATGAAATCAAAGTTAATCCTGTTTGATCATTTCTTTTAATGTAATACTGTTCACTGCCTTAAAGATACCCAATATTTCGGACAATTTATTAACACAAGACGTACTCATACGAGGATTATAAAAGATTGTACTTTTTATGATAACTGTTACAGTAGTTAATGAGCAAGGTATACTTCCTGTAACAGTCATCTCTAATCTTTAAATTTATAAATCTCATAATCAATATAAAGTACCATCATACTACACTAATTTAAATCATCCTCATTTTAATCAGCTCATGGCAATTAAAAGTCACTCCAGTATAATTTTACATTAACTCGTTGATCACAAGGGGAAATCATTAGATATCCATGCCACCAAATGGTGATATGTATTTGTTTTTTTCATCCAATGTCAAACCCCTTTCTTGGTGACCTAGATATAGAACTACTATATTGTGCCAAATGGCTGCTTCCTAGGTTTTCTGACCAGTAATCGTACCAGTGTGGATGATGGAAGTCGAAAGAGAATTTCATCTCTGCTTAGATTTAAACCATAATCTTTAGCTTAGGAGTCTGGTTCTCTGCCCCCTACCACACTCTTCTTCACAAATATGCAGTAGTCAAAGATAAAAAGCTTTATGCAACCATACACCCTAATAAATATTTTTGATAATTTAAATGCTCATGAAATTTGCCCCCCAATAATATCAGATAAAGATCATTCAAGTGATCACTACAAAAACTTGATGCAAATTGAATTTCAGGGGAAAACTGCATGATTTAAAAGAATTTTTCAGGGAGGAAGTAAAACCTAATTTAATTGCCCCTGCTACAGTAGAAAAACAAGAACCGGTTGAACAGGGTGATGCTCCCCGAGAAGGTTTTGGACACAGGAAAGTATAAAAAATAAACAAAGGGCAATAACTCCAAATTATTTTTTTTGCACTGCACTTCTATTTAATGAGATCTATCTATCTATAAAATTTCGTGATGATATCTCTTATACTTTCAGAGTTATCTCCTAGGTAAAATTCGAGGTGTAAAAATGAACAAAGGACAATAACTCTAAAAATTGGACAAAGCTGTGTTTAGGTTCTTTAGCATTGCAATTTAATCCAATGAGATCTATCTACGTACAAAGTTTCATGTTGATATCTCTTATAGTTTAAGAGTAATGTCCCTGACAAAAGTCAAAAATTAAAATAAACAAAGGGCAATAACTTCAGAAAAAGGCAAGGCAGAGTTATGGTTCTTTAACACTGCACTTCTACCCAATGAGACCTATCTACCTACAAAGTTTGATGTTGATATCTCTTATAATTTAAGAGTAATATCCCGGACAAAGTTCAAAGTGTCAAAATGAACAAAGGGCAATAACTCCAAAATTAGGCAAGACAGAGTTATGGTTTTTTAACAATGCACTTCTACTAAATGAGATCTATCTACCTACAAAATTTCATGTTGATACCTCTTGTTGTTATAAAGTTATGTCCCGGACAAAGTACAAAGTGTAAAAATAAACAAAGGGCAATTTTTCAAAAATTAGGCATGGTAGAGTTACGGTTCTTGTGCACTGTACACCAATTCAATGAGATTTATCTACCTACAAAGTTTTATGTTGATACCTCTTACAGTTTTAGAGTTATGTCCCGGACAAAGTTCTAAGTGTAAAAATAAACAAAGGGCAATAATTCAAAAACTAGGCAAGGCAGAGTTACGATTCTTGTGCACTGCACAACTACTCAATGAGATCTATCTACATACAAAGTGTCATGTTGATACCTATTATAGTTTTACAGTTATGTCACGGACACAGTTCAAATCGTAAAAAAGTATAATTCAAAAATTAGGCAAAGCAGAGTTTCGGTTCTTGTGCACTGCCCACCTACTTAATGAGATTTATCTACCTACAAAGTTTCATGTTGATACCCCTTGTTGTTTCAAAGTTATAACCCGGGCAAGAAAAAGCGGATGGACGGACGTACTCACAAAATGGTACATATGTGACTTTTCCTTTGATCTTTTTTGGCCATTTTTAGTCACACAAGGCTAAAAAAAGACACACAAGTAAAAACGCATTTTAGTGATTTAATTTTAATTAGAGGAAATAATCTTACAGAATTAATAAAAACTCTTAATAAAGACTTTTGACAGGTTATATGGCCATGTTCGCTTGTGGTTGTTGGCTATATACCCTCACTTGGGTCATATTAGTTATGCAAGGCTATATGACTCATCACATATCTCTAAATCTAGTCAAATATTATTACCTGCGTACAACATAGTTAAAAATGACATGAGACAAAGAAAATAAGTATTGCATAATTCACATATATGTGTAATCTGGGATTAGGTTATTGACCTGAATGTCATTACATTTAATAATACATTGAATATCAAAATTACAAGGAAGATATTATTATCTAATCCTCATAGATTTTTTATACAAAATCCCATTCAGTGTAATTAAACACACTGACATCAATATAGTTCGCACATTATTCACGCCAGACAAATCAAGATTGTCTTATATTCACCCTATAAATAATCATTTTTGAAATTAATTATCATGCTTATGCATTTACAATTAATTAAAATATTGTGGCTCTGCAAACAATCTAAATAAATTCTGTCACAATATTGAGAATTCAATCCTAAAATTTCCCTTAACAACAATATTT